GGGTTTGTTTTCCTTTTCCACTGTTCTTGCCTGTTGTCGCGTTCTCCGTCCTTTTGCATTGCTTGTCGATTTTCCACATCGCGCAGGTTGCAAGTTATAGGGCAACTTACAGGGAGTTTTGACCGGTCACCATCAGCTCTGACAGTCCGGGCTGTCAAGGGACCCTAAAGCCTAAACTGCTCTGAAAATGCTAGGGTTGAGGGTTTAGGGGTTCACCTTGCTTGACATGAAAGACTCCGGGTGCGCGGCCTAAAGGACGGGTTCAGGAGGTTCGGGCTTAGTCCGTCAAGGCTTCGGACGAATCTGAAGATGGTGGCATAGTTACTAAGGGTATGCCCCCCCGCCCCCTATTGCAAGTACTGAGTCTAGTAGACAAGACGCCCCAAACCTTGCCAAATTATGTGTTTAGGCCACACTAGGCGTTTGAGTTTTTGGGGGGCAATTGATGGCTCTGCCCTCCTCGGAAGGTGGCAACGTCCCTTGTCACTATCGGCAGCTGCGGCAGCAATAGCTCTCATGAGCCTGGCTCCGACTCCCTGACATCTCTCGAGTTCACATCCAGTAAGTGTATGTATGTATCTTCCTGTTTGCTTTTCCGTCCATCCATCCGTCCATCCGTGCATCCATCCATCCATCCATCCATCCATCCATCCATCCATCCATCCATCTCCCCGTCGATGTCTCTATCGACTCTATCTGGCTTACTGACTGACTGCCGGACTGCCTAGCTAGCTAGCTAACTAGCTAGCTAGCTGTACTATTTAGCTAACTAGCTATCTGGTTAGATATCTAACTATACGTAAACCTAACAGAGCTAAGTGGTTGATCTTATCCGCCCGGGTGGGTAGAAGGTTTGGCATTTGTAGGTTTTAGGGGTCGGCTAACTCGCGGAGATGTTCTGTCATTCAGGGTTTAGGGTTCGTGTGTCCAAGGCTGCAGGCTCGCGTCTGATGTGGGTTTCGCATCTCAAGTTTTAACCATTGGAGACTGTTTTCCTAAGCGACACTGCGGTGTTCTGCCTCGCGGCTGTCACGCAACTGAGTCCGAGCGAAGCAGAGAGAGAGAGAGAGAGAGAGAGAGACAGACAGACAGACAGACAGACAGGCAGGCAGACAGACAGACAGACAGACAGACAGGGAGTAACCCGAAAGCCTAAAAGCCCTAGAAACCCTGAACGCATGGAGGCTGGCGAAATCGGCAGTGCAGGCTGCGCAGAGCGGCCTTCGTCACGCGAAAGCTGGGATCCAGCTCGACGCTAGCATGACTTAGCCTTGCCACTCCAAAGCCCCCATAACCAAGCAGTATACGTGTACCTTATATATACGTTAAGAGATTGGTCTTATTAATCAAGACATGTAAGTATACCTTATGGTCGAGCGAGAGTGCCAAAAAGTCTACCTTATGGAATGCATAGAGTGGTCCCTGATTTGAAGGTTAAGTATTTAGGCCCCTACACATCTGGCCTTTGGGCTTCCAGAGGTACAAACAGCATACTGAAGGAGTGCTGGATTCCTGCCATCTGTTCTACAACGACTACTACTACTACTCCTCCTCCTCCTCCTCCTCCTCATACTCCGATTCCATCCTGCCCCTGCTGCTGCTGCTGCTGCTACCACGCGGTTTTTGCTGCTTCTAGTGCGACTGTCCTTTTGGTCTCGATTCTTTCTTCTGCTTCCAATCAGGCTCACGGTGACGGAGCCATGCCTGGGCACGATGACTTGGGGTGTGGCTTGGCTAACAACAGTTTTCAGGTTGAGCTGAGTCATGGGACTTTGTTGTTTCGATTATGGGTAGGGGGTTGATTTTAGAACAGGCTCCAGTTGGAAGGAAGTGCATGCGTGTAGACACATCCTGCCGTGATGGGCGATCAACTGATGCCTGAAGTTCAGGTGCAGAACGACGAAGCGGAAGCCCACGAACAACTCGACTATGCTGTGAAAGAGCACCCTGGCACCAGAGTCTTGGGACCCGGTCACAATAAGACTTGACCTGGAGGTAGAAGCCTTGTCAAATCTGCACCTTGGTTCAGAGGTGTGTTCGATGGCTTCGTCATGTTTATGTGTATATAGATATAGATATAGATATACATATATATATAGAGAGAGAGAGAGAGTTGCATGTGTGTGCATATACATATGTATATATATATGTATATATACACACTTATCTAAAAATAGATATGCCCGGTATCCACGTGTGGACTTCTTACGTCGTGTCCGGAGAAACTCCAGGGTGTAGACTTCAGAATTGCTGTGGTTGCGACGGTGCGGCGTAGCTGGGTCCCTTCGGTTCTTGAATCATTGGAAGGCTCCTGGACTAAGGCCTGAAAATATAGAAGCAGCTTAAATAGCAGGTTGTACTATGCTGGGGCTTCTCTTTCAGTTATAAGTATAGCAGATGATCCCTCATAGCCTTATTCTAGTTATGAGTCCCTGCAGTATTCTTTTAGGAGAGGCGTGAACTTCATCGACACGGCAGAGATGTACCCAGTCCCCAACTTTGACCCGCAATGGTGTCCAGGCCTGGTGAACGTCAGGGTGGTGCCGTCTACAGTCTAGGGTCCAGGGTTTACGAATCAGGAATCAGGGGTTCGGGGTTCCTTTAGGGCAAAAGATGTTTAGGGTTCAGGGTTCTGTTTAAGATGTGAGCAGCTTCGGGGCTAGCGTATGATGTCAGGTACTGAGCCAGTCAGAAAATTGGTAGTCGTGCGAGGCACCACGGAGGAGTACATCGGAAACTGGCTGCACAAAAACCCGGACCTGCGCGACAAGGTTCAGACCAGTGAAGGAATTTGACATGAGCCCTGAACTTGCTACACATGGTGTCGCTTAATCCTCGTTCGGCATGCCAGATTCTGCGGTTGCGAGATGTCCGTTGAGGTTGCAATGCATGGTGGACTTAGCCTGGTTTGAAGCCTTCGAAGCTTCCGGTGCAAAATAGAAGCACTCAATAATTATTAATAGGGTTCCTCATTATTTATATGTTAGATTCTACTAGAATGGGCCTCAAAACCCTATTCTAATTCTTAAGGCCCCTACACTAACCCCCTGTAGTAGCCTTTATAGACCTCTTGAAAAAGGAACCCATCAGAGGAACCCTATTGAAATTATCAAGGCCCCTACAGTAGCATAACCCCTGTAGTCGCTCCACCGGCCTGCAGGGGATTCTTGTGACCAGTCAGACACTGGAAGGTTTCGGGTGGGGCTTAGGGTTTAGGGCTTCGGGTTTAGGGTTTAGGGTTACGGTTTAGTGTTGGGAAGCTAGATGGAAGAAGTGTCCGATGCCCGTGTCAAGAGGCCCTTCACCTTCCCTGTCATCCCTGGTGTCATGGAGGCTTCAGGGTGTAGTGCGGCAGAACTCGTGCATAATGGGTTTCGTAGACTATGTGGGTCTTAGCATATTGTCTTACTGAGGTGCCAGGGTTTGTGCGGCGTATACACTGTTCTCATGAAAGACAAGCTACCCAAGTGAGCATCTGCTGGCAAGAGCGACCATGACGGCCCCGTGCCCAAAGCCCCAAACCCGGATGAATGAGATTTTTGGTGGCGGCAATCTAAATTCGCAAGAGCATCCCAGGCTACAGGATGTAGAAGACGCCTAGACAAAACCTGGAGTCCTTCCACCCGTCCTCATCTGTTGCTTGAAACGAAGAGATGGTAAGCTCAGGGCCGAAAAGCTCGACAGTTCTTCAGTTCGGACTGGTCAGCCGGGCCGGTGGGAAGTAGCCCTTCTAGAAGCCAAGAGCCCAAAAGAACCATAAGCATGCACCCCAAAGCCTATATAAGCAACCCCTGTTGTCAGCAGGTGGTGCTAGCCACCAAGGTCGCCATATCCTCAGAGTCCCCCGAAGCCTCAGACTAGACACGAGTTTCAGGGCTTGCGGGTTTAGGCTTTCGGGGTGGCTTCTTGGTTAAAAGATGGGGCTCTAGGGCTTTAGGCTGTTGGGCTAGGGTGGGGTTTGGGTGTAGGGCGGCTCTAAAGGTTTAGTGGGCTCTGGAATGATTTATGCGGCAACATACCGGGATTGCCGGATTTGTGGGGTTTTCCCTGCTCAACATAGGCTCTTTAAAGTCTCTATTGCAGTTCCTCTTTTGGTTGTGTTATAGGATCCTACATTTGTAGGACTGGTTAAACCCCAAAAGAGGACCTACCATGAATACTCGAGTTACTGTTGAACCCAAAAGAGGAACTACCATGGATACTAGAGTTCGTAGCGTGCGGAGATCAGGTCGGAGAGCTCTTTTTATCGAACCATCGTCTCCTCTGTAATGCAGGGGATTAAAGAATTACCAATACTATTCTATTCTGATGGTTCCTTCTTATAAGCATAGCATACTGGGCCCCAGAACCCCATTCTAATTATTCAGGCCCCTATATTGGTGAGTTTCCGTGCCGGGCTCGCAAGTATCAGGTGTAAAGGAAACAACAGAAGTCACTCTACTGCAGGCTCTTCGACCATGTTTAACAATAAATCTGAATACTGCGGGTGTTGCGATGAAAGAACATTCTGGTCTTGAGTCCTACTGGCACCGATTTAGTGCACCTGGGCCCGCGTGCTGGTAATTTAGTATACTTTGTTGTTCCAGTATGTTAAGTTTCTAATTATGGTATATTATAGTATGATAGTGTATGATAGTATTACATTATATGTGGTAATTCCTGTAAGGGTGGAAACAAGATACCATCCTCGTAGAAGCAGCTGCGGCGAATGCTCCTCGCGCCCGAAAAGGCTGCTAGTTGCTGGCTCGAGGATACAGTATGTAATATTTAGCGATTAATTAATATGTTACAGCACATTACGTTCAACGTGCAATATGTAATGTAAATATACATGTATGTATTTATATACACACACATATATATATATAGATACATATATATATATAGAGAGAGAGAGAGAGAGTATATATATATATATAATATAATATAAGTAAGGAAAGCTTCGCATCAGCTGTGATACCCGGAAGCAGAGCTCCAAAGAGCTAGTCCATGTGCCAGCCATGCCCAAAGTGGCATTCCTCAAGGTGCCGATAGCTTTTCTATTGCTTCTTGCAGGAGCTTCGGAGTTTGAGGCTTCGCCGGATGAGGCGCCCCGGTCCACTGTGACAGCGGAGGCCGTGGAACGCTACCAAGCTTCCATTCGTGCCCGAATGGCAGGAGCAGATGCCTTGCCTGACAAAGCAGATGACGAATGGACAAGCTCCTAAAACTCCCAGTGGTACCCTTTTGCCCGTTTCTGTTGGGGGGGTCCCTTATCAAAACCAAAAGTAGGCAAGAAAGGGTATACACCCTTAAAATTAAGGGGCCTGCAGGGGAACTCAGGCTCTGATTCTCTTCGGAAGGACCTCATAGGGCTCGTTGGGGGCGTCTCAGAGAATGCGACTGCGCTGGAGGTCGGCTCCAATTTGGGTACACAACCCTACACCTCCAAACCCTTCAACCCTAAACCCCAAAACCCGTAAACCCCTAAACCCTTAAACCCTAAACCCTTAAACCCTAAACAGGTTGGCTCCTATTTTGGGTACACAACGCGGATTCTCAGTCATCTCTTCAAGCGCGTGATCGCACTTGATGCCGTTCCTGAGCTCTTGCAGGCAAACCGGGACTACAACTATGATCGAGACAACATCCTGTATATCAGGTTCCACACTACCGACCATGACTGGGGTATCTTCAATTTGAACAGCATCCAGGTTGTGTTCCTGGATGCATCTCATGACTTTGAAACTGTCATGCAAGATATTGACAACTGTCTTCGAATCCCCACCGTCAGTCTCATCATTTTCGATGATTATGGAGCAGAAGAAGGGGTGCGGCGAGCTGTGCAGCAATTCGTCTCGGCTGGCCGACTGCGCCCGGTGGCACTGCTGGGCGAGGGGGCTGAGGGCCCCTGGCGCCTGCGCGACGGCCGCGAGGTCAAGGAGCGCGAGGCAATAGCCTGTGAGGTGCTGCGACGATGATGATCTGCAGTGCAGCTGTTCCGAGCGAAGGTTCTACGTGCTGCTTCGTGAGCATGATGTGGATCTGCAGCCCGGGATTTGAAGTAAGATCCTTGGACTGGTGACGGACACCACGCAGGACTCGTGCAGATGTATCAGCGGCGAGAAAGAAGTAGGTCCGCTGGTGCTTCTCCTTCATCCCCACACTAGTTTGAATGGTGACTTACCGCAAGTAGTACCCGAAGGCCGTGAAGTCTAGTGAGTCTAGTGCAGGGCCGTGTGAAGTCCACGGCATTGTGTGCTTCTTCTGGTAGCCTTGTCACGAATGTTCGCCAAAAAAAGGTCGTGGTTGTCTTTGAACACCCTGAACCCCTTGGGGTGACCCCATGTGTGACTGATCGGTGCATGGTCTTAGATGGTTATTGGTCGATGGTACATGTTGCGGGGTCATCTTGCGTGGCGGCATTATGTGGAGCCTTCCCTGCCTTGTGCGAGAGCGAGAGTCGAAACCCTAAACTCCAAATCCTCAACCCAACACATGCGCAGTCTCCCTGGGCAGGCCTCAGAGGGATACGTTCCCAAGCTCCGAAGACCTGACAGAACTGATGTTTGTGATGCCTTTGGCTTTGTATTATATTTTATAAACATTATAGACTACATATTATATATTATTACATATGATATAGTATGGCTTAGTGACTTAGTGCAAATGGCAAAGGGTTCACGAGGGAGCGCGCGTTCAAGCTTCCTAGATGCGAGTCCCCTAAAGCTTGCTAATCCTTGATGAATAGTCAGAATACTACGAATAGCACTAGCAATCATAACGCTAGTTATACAATACGGATAACAATAATTGTAATAATAGTAATAATAGTCAATACTGGTAATAATAGAATTAATAATAGTAGTAAGAATAGCAGTAAATGATAGTAATAGTAGTAATCCCGAAGAATAAACCCTAAACCCTAACACAAAGGTGCGTCACCGCAACTTGAAGAAAAAGAATCCTATAGTTTCCTGAGGTCGGCTGCTGGCCAAAGTCCCGTGTGGCTGCGCGTCGGACGCTGCCCGAAGGGGAGGCTGCTCTCTTGGGTTTGGGGATAAGGGGCCCTAAAACCCTAAACCCTGGTTTAGGGTTTAGGGCTTAGGCCTCTGCCCAATACAAGTTTAGGGTTTAGGGCTCTTGCCCTAAGAGGGGGTGAGGGTTGCGCAGGTGCGGGCCTTCACCGAAAAGGTGTCCAGGGTTTAGGGGTTTAGGGTTTTAGCCCAGTTGTAAAGGGGGTTTAGGGGTTTCCAAGTTTAGGGTTTGCACGATACTTCTTTCCATAGTCTAAAATATGCCAAATATGCACCAGAAGTGCCATGATCTAGAGCACTGAAGCTAATACCGGATTTTGTGAATCAGCAGTGTCAAGCCCTGTAGATACAGAGTAGTATCGGACCATGATGGCAGAATGATCGGTTCTTGTCAATCCTTAAAATGATGGCCTACACTGACTACTTGATGTTCGGATTTAGGATGCAGGGCTCCCGCGTCGGGGTCTAGAAGCATATGGTTTTGCAGCATTCTAGAGATGCTGCCAGAGAAATCTTGTCTTTTCGCCCTCAAAAAGACCAAGTCAGACCCCGCCCTTATGCAAGAGGGTTGGGGACGCTGCATGGTCCCTATTAATAGCATGAACTTGTTGTAAAGACTCCTGAAGCTGTACCTCTATTTCTGGCATGTCCAGTGTCGGTCAGGCCGATGACTATCCTGATGGTCGATTGGATGAAAAGTCAGTCTTGCCAGTGCCCCAGTGTCATGCATCACAGGCATACTAGGATTCGAATAGCTAGTATATACTATATCGCGCTTGGTTCCCTGCTGTGTGTGTGTGTATATATATATATGTATGTATATACACACATATGCAGATCAGAAAGACCCGTCCACAGCTAGTCCAACTGTTCGGGCCTGCTTTCATGTGTTCGATTGCTTGTTTTTGCGCTGAACACAGACTAAGAGTGGCATTAACACGGTCTGTCTCGGTGCTGCATTGGGGACTCGGGCCGGGGTCGCGTGAAGAAGCTTCAAGAGTCTGCCTTTTAGCAGGGTCCGGCATAGCTGCGAGTAAGATGTTGCGCTACTGGTAGCCGAGCTTACTGGATGGCCCGTGTCTCGAAGATAGCCCTATTCAGAACCTCTAAACCTGTTCGAAATCCGGTCGAAAGCTACAACTGACTGAACAAACAGCCATGAAAAGTTCGATTATAGGTATGTAGAGGAACTCTTCAAGCGCTATTACAATCCATCGTGTCAGCTCCACACATCAAAAAGCATTGACTTTGTTGATCTTTCCCTGCAGGGAGGCCTGCGACGCGTCGCTCCGAAGATTGAAGACCGACTGTATCGACTCCTGGTCTTTAGTTTAGGTTTAGGGTTCTTACATAAAATGTAAGACATGTCTCGTATGGAAAAGAAGAGGGCTGTGTATCTCAAAGTCTCAAAGAGAGCACTAAGTGGTCCTTGCGATTTAGGACTGCAGCTGTGAGGGCAGGCTTTAAGTTTTCTCTTTTCACGTCTTTTGGCTTTGAGCCTTAGGAGTTGACTCTTTGGGGGTTTATGTTTTTTTTTCTGGTTCGGGTCTAGAGTGCAAGATGTTGAGGGTCAGCCTCGAATCGAAGTGTATCTCTATCACTGTCTCTATCTCTATGTTGATCTCTATATTACATACGTATACCGTATACATACGAACATACACGCAGGCACACATCGTTCACTATACTTCGTTATTCGTAGTCGTCAGATATGGAGAAGAGAAAGAGGAGAGAGAGCGGGAGAGAGAGACACAGAGAGAGAGAGCGTGATAGAGAGCGTGAGTGAGAGTGAGAGAAAGAGAGAGAGAGAGAGAGAGAGAGAGAGAGTGACGGAGACTACTTGTGAGGTCCCAAAGTTGACGAATGTAACCTGCAACTAATGCGTGCAGTCTTGGTAGTCGCCTGGTTTTTGGATGCATCTAGAGTCAGCGGAAAGCGTATGTTGCCAATATATGGCTACCTCCTTTCTCCCGAAACTTTGGCTGCTGCTGTGTCACAGTGCCCCCGTGAGAACACCCACAACAGCATGGCATGGGTAGGCCATGCCGCCCGAGGAACTTGAGACGTGCCCCTTGCCCGGGAGGGAGAGAGAGGGAGAGAGAGCAGCGAGAACGACTGACATTGATTTTCAGATAGCCATGGCGTTGATCTGCCTGTGCTGCTTAACTGCAGTCTCTTCGCTTCGCATGAACCAAGAAGGTTGGCAGAGCCACCTAAGGACCTTTATCAGGTTCACTGGCCCGATCGATATGTCCCAATCTTCGGCGGCACAGTGCATCTTGGCCTCCAGTCCCAAGGCCCAAATCCAAAACCTTCATCGAGGGAAGGAGATTCGGAGGTGAGTTGGTGGTTTCGTAGGTTTTAGGGCACATGTTGAATACGGGAGATAGGAGAATTTTGCTTGATTTACGAAAAAACCTACGAACAGGGACAAGCCTAACATGGCTTCAGGATGCCCACTTTGCGTGGCTCATCCCTGTACGCATGTTGCCTTGAGGCTGAAACAGCTGGTCTGGCGTTTCGAGTCTTTCTGGCCAGACCCCCTGAAGCATTGAGGTACAAAGCAGAAAGCGAGCGAGAAGCTGTGCGAATTGAGGCCGGGTTTCGCAGGAATTTTAAAATGCTGCCCGCTTACCACACGAAGTTTGGAGTTGTGAGGGATGGTGATGCAATAGTGAAGCGGGTATGGTTTGTTGCGGGTCATGGTGGGAGTGATGTCCTTGCAAGGAAACAGCTGGAGCAATGAAGAAGCTGCTGGATGCCGGCAAGAGCCTGGGCCATTGTTTTCGTGGTCCTCTCATCCTAGGCATACATAGCATGTTCCATTATTATATTGTATTATACTGTACCACTGTACGATGCTAAATTATACTACATGTTCTTGTATTATGTTATAACATCAAATATTTTATAATCGTATTATGCTCCACCGATTGAAACTTTTTTACGATGAAGCAGCCACTGAGGATTAAGGCCTATGGCGTGTCGAACGAGACGACTTTTGGCGTTTGTGAATGGGCACGAGCTGCAGACAAACTGGGTATGCCAGCCCCTGCCAGTGTCTCATCTGCCGTGGTTTTGCTTGGCCGGTGTCTTTGGGCCTCGAAGCATCAGAACCATGGGTATCATGCAGGTAAGTTCAAGACGAGTCCCGATTGCTCGAATAAGGAAGCTTGCTGTTTCGGAGCTACCAGAAAGCAACATGCAAGCAACAGTAGGGGGACAAGCCTAAGCCTCGGCCCCGCAGTATTCAGGGGATTCAGGGGATGTCTTCTAGACCGCTACCTGGCTGTCTGGCAGTGCAAATCGCAGCATTGCCCAGGTATCCAAAACGCACTCTCAATGGTCGTCCGCCTCTTTGAATATGAGTTGGTCGAGGCCTCAGTGCTGCATGGCTTTTTCCCGAAAGCTTCAGCGAA